CTGATCTAATTGGGCTTGGAGGAACCAAAAGTTACAAGGACTAGGACAGACCAGGCTTCTCTTTGGGCCCCCAGGAGCCTATGGTCACAATGACTGTGGGGGGCCAATTGATAAGACTTTATGGGAGCTGAACATTCTGTGGTGACAGAGCACATTAGCTCATTGAACAAAAACCATGTGATTAGCATTAGGGTCACTGGAGTTTCAGAGCAGAGGCCATTTTTCAGACCCAAGAGGTATGTTATAGGGGGAAGACAGATCTGACATGAATTCCTATAACTCCTAACTGCCCAGTTCCCTTCCTGGAAAGAGATTTGCTTCGTAAGTTACAAGCCCAAATTGCCTTTGGGCCACAAGGAAAAATGACTTAAATCTGACCCACCCAGAGGCTATGGTGTTAACCCTTACTGTCTCACAGATTGAGAAATGGAGACTATATTCTGACAAGCCACCCTAGTCAGGAAAGAATGAATTGTATGGGTTGACACAGACAGTTTCTGGAGTATGGGCTGAAGACAACGCACCCAGACTAGCTGCAAATCAACCTCTGGTGGTAACAGAACTAAGACTGAGGGCAATTCTTGTATGAGTTCACCAATACCCGCTCCCCCAGAAAGCTATACAAGGCATCCAGGGACACTTAAAGAGGCTTATAAAAAATAGAATCTGGGTCAAATGCCAGTCTTTGTAGAACATCTCGATTTTGCTGCTATGTAAACCAGGGACTAATAAATACAGGCCAGTCTACTAAAACCATACACCGAAACAATGCCAAACCTACATACACTAACGGAACTCATCCCAGCAAGTGCTGCCTGGATCACTTGCCTAGAGTTAAAAGACACCTTTTTCTATCTCCCCTTGGCACCAATCAGTCAACCCATTTTTACATTTCAATAGGAAGACCCAGTTATTGGCATAAAAGAACAGCTCACTTAGACTAGGCTTCCCCAGGGGCTTAAGAACTCCCCTATCATTTTTAGGGAAACACTGGCCACCAATCTCAAGGTCTTTCTCATGTCAGGAAGTGACTGTGTTTTATTACAATATATAGATGATCTTTTTACAGCTCCTTCTTGTGAGGACTATCTCTAAGGGACCAGAGATCTTTACCTGTTCTGAAAGGTCAGATATAAGATGTTTTAAAAAAAGCTCAAATTTGCCAACAAAAGGTCAGACATCTGTACTTTATAGTAACAAAAGGGAAACATCAACTGGGCACTAAATGAAAACAAGCTATCTGTGCCCTCCCAGCCCTGACTACCAGACACCAGATAAGAGAGTTTCTGGGGGTGACAGGTTTCTGATGCATCTGGATTTCTAACTTCTCACTCATGGCTAAGTCATTACATAAAACTACCAAAGGAGGGGAAAAATAGCCCCTTCTTTGAGAACACATTCAACAAGACAGCACATTCAAAATAATCAAAAAAGCCTTAACCCAATCTCCAGCCCTGGGGCTGCCAGACATGACCAAGCCTTTCTTCCTATACATCCAGGAACGAAAGGGAATGGCCATAGGGGTTCTGATGAGGTCATAAGATCCTGGCACTGTCCGGCAGCATATTTGTCAAAACAAATAGACTCTGTGGCCCTGGCATGGCCTCCATGCTTTAAAGTCCTTACTGCCACTACTCTGATGATGCAGGAAGCTGACAAGGTGACTCTGAGACAGCAACTGACTATCCGAGTGCCACATTCAGTCATACCCTCGATGGACCAGAGAAGACACCACTGGTTATCAAACCCAAGAATGACTCTATATTAAGGGATCCTATATAAAAATTCCTGCATAGTGAGAGATAAGAAACAAATCACATGCAAAGGAAACCCCATCAGAATCACAGCAGACTTCTCAATGCAAACCCTCAAGGCAAGAAGAGCCTGGAGTGATGTATTTAAGCCCTAAAAGAAAACAGCCTCCAACCCAGATTGATGTACCTGCAAAACTATCTTTCAAAATTGATGGAGAAATAAGATACTTTCGTGACAAAGAGCACCTCAGGAACTTCATGAATACCAAACCAGCACTCCAAAAAATTTTAGACAATATCCTAGGAAAAGACAATGAGGATCACAACC